TCGTCATGAATGTTACGATCGTCATAGTAATGAAAAATCCAAATTAAAAACAGATTTGGAATGTGGCCACGATTATGTTGGGAAGTTATAGCGATGTATTTTGGTATTCCTCAGACTCTCAATTCAGTTTTCATTTTACGAAAGAAAAACCGTAAAGGAAGAAAGAGAGCGGCTGAGAGAAGATGATATCAGAGGAAGATTACCCGTCAGAGATATTGCAAGGCAGTGACAAAGAAGTCGCCGCAGAGATAAACCGGAACCAGAAGTCTAGGATTGGCCTCAAATCCAAGGTAAGGATGAGGTTCAATTCTATAACCAGGGATATGATAGATTTCATGAAGGGTATGGAATCATGGGTGTAGTTTCCGTAGATTGATAAATATTAGAGATAAGATTTGTCTGTGTCGAAAACAGTGTTGTCTTTGATCTGTATGATACTATATGAGTTATCGTTCCATAAGTAACGTAAACATGTAGATAATTAAGTATGAAGAAATTGTAATGTCATTTTGCGGAAATGTCTTGAGTTCTTATTTGTTGATAATGATGTTGTTATCGTTCCCTTATAGGAACATATTGAAATGATGAATACTTGATGCATATGAAAATAATGATGTTCTGTTATAATTAAATTGGTTGTAGGCTTAATGCCTTGTTGCGTGGTTGTTGTGATCTGTTTCTGACATGAACAAGGTGAAATGGTGAGTACATAATATGTGCGAAATGGTGATGTTTCTATTATGGATAATTGGTTGTAGGCTGGATGCCTTGTTGCTGAGTTGTTGTTGTATTGTAGTCCATAATAGTTACGTCCCATAGCATATCATATTTGATGGCCTGTATTGGCGGCCCTTAGTGGCAATTTCTGTGATGGCCTGTATTGGCGGCCCTTAGTGGCAATTTCTGTGATGGCCTGTATTGGCGGTCCTTAGTGGCAAATAATTTGATGGCCTGTATTGGCGGCCGTAATGACAATTTGGTACCACATGCATATGCACAGTTGAGTCGCATTGTTGAGTCGCATTGTTGAGTTGCGTTGTTGAGTTGTTTTGTTGAGTTGCTGAGTTATGATGATAATTGTTGTGGATAGGAATAATGAATTGTTGCAGTTTAATTATTACTAATATTTATGCGAACTGCTGTAATCATAATGCTGTGATAATATTCTGATATGACTTTTATCATGCCTTATGTTATATTGTTGATATCTCACCCCTTTACATTGTATGTTACCTCCGTTGGTGGTAATTTGCAGGAGATTCAGAATAAAGTATAGCGTTCCGTTTAAGGTGTCGTCGGACGCTCTGATACATAGCACTTTTGGGGGATGAACGTTTACTGTTTTGTTTTAGTTGTTTTCTTGTTGCTGAATTTTATTGAGTATTCTTCGTGAAAATGGGTTGTTATTGTCAAATCCTAAATGCTGGTTGTACGCACTAAGCCGGAGAATCGGTGGTGCTGAATTTTGATGGAAAACTAGTTGTTTTAATGAATATATGCAAGATGATTTGTTGCTGAATTTTATGGAGTTTGGTTATAGTGAATGGTTAGAAGTATATTATAACACGTCGTTTTATGATTAAAATGTTAAACAAATTATTGTTGTCTGTTCATCCGAACCTGTGCTACGTATGTGAATAAATGATCGTGTTGAAGATGCATGTTGTCTGCTAAGTTGAATATGTGACACCTCTTATGCATCCCAGAATTTGGGAGTGTGATGCTCGTCACTACTCCCTGACGCTCGTCATGACCGTGACGGTCGTGACATCCATGACGGTCGTCATGAAACTTTATTTGCTGCACTCTGAATTGTTTCTGTTGTTTATCTTATTTTTCCGCGATAGTTTAGAGTGGGGTGTTACATTGTGCATCTCCACAGTTGTGAATCTGATGAACGGGACACATGCAGTCCAAACGGCAACATCTTCCCCTCTGACTTCATGTAGATGGTCCATGTTTAGATATGGACGCCATATGAACTGAAGAAGAGAAAAATATTAGATCATAAAATAACTTATATAAAATATAATTTGATTTGTTTAGAGGCTTTACATCTGTAAGTGTTAGGTGATCCAACCGATTGCGATATTGAATGATACAATGTATAGGGCATCTATTGTAAGTCATACCCTTAGTCGACCATCTAAACCATAAACAGTTCAAATTCGATTAGTTAAGTTCTTTAAGTTATTCGTTGAGGAAATGATTGACAATTTTGAGATTTTGGATTTTTTTTTATGGATTTTGGGTTAAGGATAAATTTTGAAAATTCTTTTATTGAACAGATTTTTGAAAATTTTGGTATTTGAAAGGTATAAGACGATGAATAGTTTTTTTTTTTTTTATATAATTTTATGTTGGTCTTTGAAAGGTATAAAAAGATGAATATTTTGTTTCTTCTTGATTTTGATGACAAATTTATGGATTTTGAGAAGTAATCGAGTTTAAAATATTTTATGTAAATTGCTTTGCTTGAATCAAAGCATTGATGAAACTAACATAGTAGATTCACTACTATCAATTGACTTACATGACTTTTATGATTATTAATTATGAAGATATGTTTTTTTTTACAAAGTTTGGTTTTTATAATTTTTTAGATTTATATTTAAATTATAATTTATAAAATTGGATTTTTATGAAAATTTTAAATTTTGATTTTTTGATTATTTAAATTATAATTTATAAAATTATTTTTCTATTATTTAAGATATTATTTTAATTTTGTTTATCAAACAACATGTCACTTTTAACTTAGCTGACGTCCTAATGTAAAATAGAAGGGGACAAAAAAATCACATAAATTGTTAAATGAAAATATCAAAGTGCAGATTTGTTAGTTTCTTTTATTCCTTGAAATATTAAGACCATTTGACTCCAAAGAGAAGTAATATGCATATTTGTTAGTTTCTGATACCATATTAGAGTTTGGCATAACACAACCTTACAAAACTGGTTGGTAAGGTGAAGGGTGTCACTCTATATAAACCATTGCAATGCTCTATTTCCAACCAATGTGGGACTTTAGGATCTTCCTAATATGAGATAAGTTTCCGAAGGCCATGATTCCTTTAGGTGTTCATAATAATTTGAAACTTTCTTATTGTCATTTTGTTAATCTCTAAGAGGATTTTTGTCTAATCGTCATCTTTTGTTTCCTTTTCCTTCTTTGAATACATGGTTCTTTTTTGTAAATAAATAAAATCAAAAAATAAATTTTAAAATGAAGAGACTAAAATGTTAAAAAGTTAAAATAAAGAATTGAAAGTTCATATAGCCAAACAAAAATATCATGCTTGATAAATGAACTTAAAGGCCTTTAATCATATGGATTCAGTTGATGACAAAAGTCATGACAATCTAATATTAATGAGATTGAAAAAAATGTATGAATGTAAATAAAATGATTCACTTTATCTTAAGGATAATACAAGCGAAAAAAATTTATAATTTATAAATTTTGAGTTTTTTCATATTCATTTAAAAGTTTTACAATTAAATATTTAAAGAAAGAAAAGATTTAAGATTTGAAAAAAAAAGAAAAAAAAGTAAGAAGAATAAAGCGTCTAAAAGTTAAATATTTATTTTAATATTATTATTTTTAAATTAGACTTAAGTGACTTTAATCCGAAAAAGTCACCCTGTTTTTCATACATCCGCGTTGTTCGATTAATCAAACATTCCATATTAAGCTATTTGTATGTTCTTTTTCATTAAACCAACTAATCAAAAAAATTTGTATTTATGCAAAAAATAAAATACATATTTATTACTTTTTCCTTTCGTTATCGTCATTTCTTCTTGCTTCCACCATCATGCTTGTTGTCGTCATCATATTCACATTGTCTTACCGCCACCATCATGTTCGCTTTGTCTCGTCGCCACTATCATACTCGTCGTCTTTGTCTCGTATCAATCACCATCAGGTTCACGATCTCCATCTTGTCTTGCTGTCACCATTAGCTCGTTGACTCTCTTTCGTCTTCACAACCACAAAGAAATACAACCGCACCTAATAAAAATGAAGATGAAATGAACAAATACAGAATCACGAAGTCAGGTGGAAGAATGATGGTAGTTCAAGTTGCACCGACTTACACAACATTAGTCTGAATGATGGTGATTTAAACCACTACGACAAATAGACATAATTGTGGTGAGTCTTCCATTAATAAAAAAGAAGTTTTTAATTTGTTGCGGAAACACAATTTACTTTTTTGTGAATCAATTTTATACAAAAGAAAATATACATAATTTAACCTAAAACATGTGATTGATTGAAAGTCGCAAGAAAGGTCAGCATGAATAGTCTGAGTTAAAGTCACCGAAGCCTAATCCATTATTTTCATTTTTAAACTGCTTTAAAATCTAGAATACAAACTAATATACTATGTGTCATTTTCCTTGAGATATCACCCGCTCCAACTATAACTAATAGCTTGAACGGTCTTAAAAAAAAAAATTTAACGAAAATTTTAGAAATACTTTTAAGAATTTAAATAGTAAAACTCTATACATCAAAAATTAAAATAGTTAATCTTTTTATATATTTAAAATACTTATAAAGAGTGCTAAGAGGTTATTGAAAAGGAGATAAAGATGAAGAAAAAGGCAATATTGTAGGGTTTTATTAGAGTGAAATAAAACGAAAAGAGTTTAGAGTTAAAAGGAAGAGTGAATAGTGAGGGTCGCATTTGCTTTCCAAGTTCCAACTCTACAACAACGAGAACTCATTCCGCATCTTTCTTCATCGATTTCCACTTCCGACTTCTGATCCACTCTCGCGCTAGGGTTCCGCTTCCGGTATTCTTCTATCTCTCTTCTCTGATATTCCGTTTTTTCAATCATCACAACCGATATCTTCGCTTTATTTTCAATCCTTTGCTCATAGAGATTGATATATCAAACAATCTGATTGATTATTTTCAACTAGTTGTTTCTCATATTTCTGCTGATTAATCCCTAACATTCCACATTACGATTACAGTGCGTCAAAAATGACGAACATTGCTTTACCTGGTATACTTGAAAAGGTACTTTTATTTTAAGTGCTTTTGTGTGCGTACTGATGGTGGTAGGTAGGTATATGGATTGTGATAGAATCTTAATTCAATTGTTTGGTTGTGCTTTTCAATTTCTCACAGATGACTGGGAAGGATAAAGATTACAGATATATGGCCACATCTGATTTGCTTAATGAGTTGAGCAAACCTACATTTAGGGCTGATGCTGATCTTGAAGTTAAATTGAAAAATATCATCATACAACAGCTTGATGATGCTGCTGGTGATGTTTCTGGACTTGCTGTTAAATGGTACATCTTCTCATATTATGAATTGTTCATATTCAGGTTGCTGTTAGAAAATAAATAATGGTTGATAGAGTATCAGTGGTGTTTTAATTTGTTTATTTTATTATAAATTGCAGCCTTGCTCCATTAGTGAGGAAGATGAATGAGGCAAGGGTTGTGGAAATGAGCAGTCAATTATGCGAGAAAATACTAAATGGGAAGGATCAACATCGAGACACTGCTAGCATAGCTTTGAAGACTGTTGTTGCTGAAGTTTCTACTCAACCCCTTGCACAATCTATTCTTTGTCTTCTCTCGCCACAATTGATTAAAGGAATTACTAGCAAAGTAAGTCCTTGAAATTAGAAACCCATCCGTGCATATATTGCTCTTATTCCACCTTTATTAACTTCCATTCTCACTGATCTATATTTCTCTATAATGCATGCCTTTAGAATATTCAGCTTTTACTCTTTGGCCTCTTATTTGTCATGTACCTATTCAAGAAAACACAAAATTTTCCAAAAAAAATCAATTTCTGTCACTCTTATTTTACATTTTTAGATTTATACTGAAAGAATGCACAGCACCCTTTTCCTCTACTTATAGGTCTCAAAATTTGGGTTGGGCCCAACTCATCCCTTCAAATCCAACACAATGAAAGTGTTGGAGGCTGCAATGAAGGCAAGCCAAATGCTGCAATTTAGGCGACTAGGGGAGGACCGCAATGAAGGCGGATATTCCAACAATAGGAATAATATGTCCCATTTTGTACTCATTTGCACATCACTGCCACCCTTGGTGGTCTTAAGAGTCCAATTCTCACATGGCCATTTTGTTTATAGATAAAATAGAATGTTAGTTAAAGGTTTTTTGCTCTATAATCAATATCTTCCAGTAAACTTGGCTGGTTTTTCAGTTTACATGTTTGGGTACAGTAAGCCTTGTAGCTCTATGGAGCAATATGAGCTATGTTTGCTGTCAGCGCCCTACTAGTTTATTCATGTGTACAACTTGCGAATTAAATTGGGATCAGATTGATTTTGGGCCTTTTTGTTTGGGGTCTACATATGAAGTTAGGTTTAATAGTCCATGAGCTGCTAGAATTATCCTTGACATGGCAATCTTCTGAATGGCAAGTTGGCAACAAGGCTGTTACTGATTTTCTGCTTTCATTTATGAGCATGTTTAGTTTATTTTCTTTCATGTGCATACGTGTTAATTATAATTACTAATTAGTCATGAACTCTTTATTTAGTGCTTTTTAAAGTTATATTCCATTATGAATCTTATTTTATAATGCCTACAGGATATGAGCACAGAGATTAAATGTGAATGCCTGGATATTTTATGTGACGTCCTTCATAAATTTGGGAATCTAATGGCGGCCGACCATGAACTATTGTTAAGTTCCCTGCTTTCGCAGTTGAATTCTAACCAAGCTACTGTGCGTAAGAAGACTGTTGCTTGCCTTGGTAAGACAAATTTGAATTTGTTGGCTTCAATTTTCTGTAGAATTTAATGTTCAGTAGTGCGGAGTTGGGGTTTCTTTCTGCAGATTGAGTGTTGCAAATTATTCTCCCTTCATCTTTGTTAAATACCCTTTTGTAAGAAAGTTGGTTAAAGTTAACAGACTCTCAACTTTTACCATCAATGATTTTTTATTTTCTGATCTGAACCTGTTATCTTTTTTGAAGGCCTTGTAGTTTTATTGCATCTAGCATGTAGGGAAACTTTGATTCAGTAACTGATAGATAGATTTGTGGGCGAGTATTTGATAACTTGCTTTCATCGAGTTTGATTGACTATAAATTGATTTGCTCAAATTTGAGTTTGAAATGAAGTGATTGTATTCAAATGTTTTTACTCTAATAGCAGCATTGTTGTAAAACTTACTGTTTGTTTTTTAACCTAATGCAGACGCCACTTTTTCATCACTTCTAGTAAAATAAAGTTTTCATTTGATGGTAAAAATAAAATTTGAATCAAAGCAACCAAACATTTATATTTTTACTAAAATTATGTATGGGAGGAGGAAAAATCAATAAGTTGCTATTTGGTTTGGGTTAATATTTGACTAACATGATTCTTAATAAACTTAATTTTGTATAATCGATTTGGCCAAACTTGAGTTTGGAATGAAGTGATTTATGTTCGATTATCTTTTACTGTTAAAGAAATTTTTAGCACAAAAACCTAGCATAAATGTTTTAACATAAAATAAAAGATTTTTGTTAAAACGAGGATTGGAGTCAAAATTAAATTTTGATCTCAATCAACCAAATACGTATAGTTTTACTAAAACCACATATGATATCAACCCCCAAGTGACCTCTTTTTATTTTAATCAGAAATGTTGTCAATTAAAGCCAAAGTGCAAAATATAATTTGCTTAATGTGTTATTTTAACCCCCAAGTGACCTCTTTTTATTTTAATCAGAAATGTTGTCAATTAAAGCCAAAGTGCAAAATATAATTTGCTTAATGTGTTATTTTTTTTTTCTTGTCAGCATCTCTTTCTTCAAGTTTGTCAGATGATTTATTGGCAAGGGCAACAGTTGAAGTTGTTACCAAATTGAAATATAAAGCTGTCAAGTCTGATATGACTCGTACAAATATACAAATGATTGGTGCTATAAGGTTAGCAATTTCTTCACATTATTTTCTCTCTCTAGCTTCAGTTTCTTTTTTATGTCGAAACTCGAAAACAATATTATCCCAAGCAGATAGTGGAAATGGTAAAAAAAACCAAAAAGGCTATATAGGCAATATTGGAAGTCACATTGTGGTTGAAATAAATCTGTCACATTTATAATAGGTAGGCTGTATACAAATTACAACAAGCTACATAATAAGTATAAACTGTAAAATTACAACATATCGTTACTACCCTTGTAACACCCAGTGGTATGGCTGACATATAATTACTACCCTTATAACACTCAGGGGTATGGTGTTGCCTTCCGTCACAACCACTGTTTATTAACACTGGCTGAAAAAGAACGTTTGTAGTAACAGATTTGAACTATTTGGTGTTTCAGTCGGGCAGTTGGCTACCGATTTGGACCCCATCTTGGAGATACAGTTCCAGTCCTAATTAACTATTGTACTACTGCCTCAGAAAATGATGAAGAGCTTCGTGAGTACAGTTTACAGGTGCTATATTTATTTATTATCCATAACTTTGTATTATGAAATGTTTGCCTGTATATTTATGATAGACTATAGGTTATGTATTTAATAATGTCAAAATTTTGCTGTAGGCTCTAGAAAGCTTTCTCCTAAGGTGTCCAAGGGACATTTCTGTTTATTGTGATGAAATTCTTCATCTGGCACTAGCATATCTTAGTTATGACCCAAACTTTACTGACAACATGGAGGAGGATACCGACGATGAAGGTCATGAAGAGGAGGAGGATGAGTATGTGGCTTATGACTTTTCGGTTCACTTGGTTGCCTGTATGGTATTCATATTTGCACAATATTTTTCTTGTTAATCATGTCATGTATGCAATGTTATTTTCCAGCGAGAGTGCAAATGAATATACTGATGATGAAGATGCCAGCTGGAAGGTTCGCAGAGCCGCAGCTAAATGCTTAGCCGCATTGATTGTTTCTCGTCCTGAGATGCTTTCAAAGCTGTATGACGAGGTAACTTTACGTGCACTTATTTGTAACATGTAAATACACTATTCTTCTTTTAATTTTTCCGAGGTCTTGCTGCTCCTGCATCATTTTATCCCTGTGGGTAGTGAGTATTGGTAGTCTATATTTGTAGTCTGATCAGGAACTTTGATATCCGTATATTCTTCCAATTAAATTTCCTTTATCCCAAAGAAACTGTGCAATTGTTTGTGTATATGGCTGTTCAATCCCTGTTATAAACTTAAAATCTTTAGTTACACGACAGTTTAACCTTCACTTTTTCTGCCTTGCAGGCTTGTCCTAAACTGATTGACAGATTTAAAGAGAGAGAAGAGAATGTCAAGGTGGATCAGAATAGGTCTTCTAGTTCTTTTGTCTTTTATAACCCCAGGTTGTTTGTCTGACATGCATATGTTGCAGATGGATGTATTTAACACTTTCATTGAGCTCTTGCGTCAGACTGGAAATGTCACGAAAGGGCAGACTGATGCAAATGAAACGAGGCAAGTGGCTTTTGTCTTTCCTAGTGTGAAAGTAGTTGGTGTAAAAGATATTAGAATTTACCCATTTATTGTAAAGACCTACTATTATTTATTGCTGAGTATATCACTCCTTAGTTTAAGGAGTTGATGTCTTTGTCCTATAAAAAGAGTGCTCTTCCTAGTGAAATAAACATTCAGTTTTGCCATAATAATTCCAACAGGATGTTTTCTAGAAGAACCAGTAGCTCCCTTGAGATTTGAAATTTGAATCCTACTTCATTTGTTATCTTAGAGCACTTATGTTATGACTGGTATCTATGGCTTCATTGCTGCTTTTACAAATGTAACACTACAAATTTTACATCTGAAAATTGTTCCTTAAGATGAATATATACTGAAATACTCATTTTTGCATATGATCTAAATAGTTTAGCTACGGCTTTGTTTATATATGAATATGCATTCAGAGCTTAAAATAAATATGGGTTAACAAGCTTTCCCAACGTTTCCTTTTGTTTAGCCCAATTTTTACAATTATTACCTCATAACTCAATGTGTGGCACGAATTGACTGTGTTAACACTGACATGCAATGCAGTCCTAAATGGTTGTTGAAGCAAGAACTGTCAAAGATTGTCAAATCTATCAATAGGCAGTTGCGGGAGAAATCTATCAAAACAAAGGTAGTGGTCAGTAAAAGTTGATATTTATTTAAGTCCAGATTTTAAGCATAGTTGCCTATGCAGGTTGGTGCCTTTTCTGTTTTGAAAGAACTCGTGGTTGTCTTGCCCAACTGTCTTGCAGACCACATTGGTTCACTCATTCCTGGAATTGAAAAAGCATTAAATGTAAGCAACATTGTCTTGAATTAAATATATTTCTTTTCTCATGTGGTTTCTTGTATTGCTAATTATTTTAGTCATTATTTTGCTTTTCAGGACAAATCATCTACCTCAAATTTAAAGATTGAAGCCCTAATATTTACAAGATTGGTATTATCTTCGCATTCTCCTGATGTTTTCCACCCTTACATCAAGGTAAACATTTTGTTTAATTTACTCTTGAAATTAGTTTCATCACTTGTATCTTAGGGGAAATGGTATGTGCCTAGACAGATTGAATATATTATGGAGATACATGTCATAAGTTATTAATAAATTCTTAATTTGTGTTTTCTACTTTTAGATCTACCATAAAAAACTCTTTTTCCATTTTTTTAATAAAAATTGTGGCAGTATCTTTACTTTATGATTTTATTGGTTGGAATGTTTGTTGTCCTGTTTCACATAGTTTGGATTGGAAAGTTGAACCATTGATTATAGCATTAGAAAGGTCCAACCATAACACGCTTCTTTAAAATTATTATTACCTGCTATTGTTGTACATTGCCATTCCCATGTTTTCTCTCATTTTTATCCGTAGTTTTAAATATTGTTGTCGGTTGTTATTAACTCCTGGTTTGGATATGAAATTATGGCATCATCAAATGTAAGTAGCTGATTTCACCTATTGGGATATGGTTGGTGTTGGTTATATTTTTTGTTGTTGTACATAGTCCACTTATTTTAACTATGTCACTTAATTTCTAAGGAGTAAAATATTATTTATTTCTAAAAGCACTTTTTTTGTACTCAATAACTCCTCAAGCTTTTGGTTCAATTGCTGTTCTGACGTGGTATCATATCCTAGTTAACCGCGTTGCCACAACTACAATCTTTTAAGTGTTAGCCTTATGGTTGATTTGGTCGTTTAATTACTTTCGATACAGGCAACAGGAAATTTAAAGTATTGTCTGTCTCTTTCTTCTCTTCATTCTAAGTTAAGTGGGTGGCTACATGCAAGAGTTGTGTCTGTTTAAAATCCATTCCTCGATTTCCACACTGCAAAAGCCTTTACTTATAGTTGTTGTTTGGCACTCTTTATTGGTTTAGATATGTTGGTTAAATTCTTCTACTGAAGGAATGTTTTGCCAAATCAAGGTGTGTGCAAATTATATGGCAGCATTTCACAAATGGATCTGTTTATCTTTTTAGGCTCTTTCTGCTCCTGTGTTATCAGCTGTTGGTGACCGATATTACAAGGTCACAGCAGAGGCCTTAAGGGTGTGTGGAGAACTTGTTAGTGTTGTGCGACCTAACATTGAGGTGTGTGCATATATCCTTTCCGGACTGTGAAATAATGTTATAACTGCTTCTAACAATCAGAATGATATTGTTGTGTAGGGCTCTAGTTTTGATTTCAGACCATATGTCCATCCCATATATAATGGCATTATGTCGCGCTTAATAAACCAAGATCAGGATCAGGTTAGTAGGATATTTTGTAGAACAGCTTTTTTTGTTTTGTTTTTATCATGCTCAACTTTTTTCTCTCCAGGAGGTAAAGGAATGTGCTATCTCCTGCATGGGCCTCATTGTGTCAACATTTGGCGACCATCTTAATGCAGAACTACCTGCATGCCTTCCTGTGCTTGTTGATAGGATGGGGAATGAGATAACCCGACTTACAGCTGTCAAGGTTGACCCATTGAACTCTAGTTTAAAATTCTATAAACAGTCGTGGCTTATAACTTCTGCTGTAGAAAAAATGCAAATGGAATAGTAATAATGAAATGATACTGGCTAATATGGGGGAAGTCGCTAGGTTTTATAATTCGAGTTTATCTGAAATATTGGAAGTGCATCTGTTCATGACTTATTTTGTTGGTTCCCACTCCCTTCACAATATCAAGTGTTAAATCCTAACTAATTGTTTAGATAGTGGCTTTGTAATATGATAAAGAGTGAAAGAGAAGATAAGATGTCATTGATGAGATCTTCCTAGGCTTTGTTTGGATTGTACGTACCATACGATATATCCAGGTAGAAATAATGAATACAAACTGTTCATCTCAAAATCCAAACAAAATGATTAGATATTGGTTCAGAGAATTGAGATAGATTGCAAGAGAAGAAGATATGATGTTACCGAAGAGATGATGAATATAAGTTGTAACTCATCATTAAGGCAGCCTCAGATCTCTCCTTCCAATACCAATTTTCCACTAACAAAATACCCATAATCTTCTTTCTAACTAGAGCTCCCTTACTAACACAAACAAACCTAGTGGTTAGGTTCACTTTCCAAATTTTAGAATTTTGCTTCTACAATTTTTATTTAGTTTTTTTAATAATAGAAACTGGCTATCCCTCCCTCAAACTGATTTCTAAACCATTTTTTTAAATATATTTCCTCAGGGTCTGTCTTATGAAACAGAGTTACTGAAACATGTGGCACAACTGTTTTATCATGAACATTCCAAACTAACAATTGGTCATATGCTCCTAATATCTCCATTCATTTTTTTTGTAACAGCATATCTCAATACTTTTTGCACGCATTATTTTTTTTCTAGCCTATTGCTCCAGTGTCGTCGATCATATACTTCTCTGCTTGAAGCAGGAATTAAAAAGGAACTTAAAACACTGAAAAATCAACTTAAGAAATTTGCAATTAATCATATAGGTTTCAGGCTTTGCTTGAATTTTCCTTTAAATCCTCCGTAGATTATTTTATGTTTCTGTAAATTTTGCCAATGTTCCCTAAACTTAGTTGAGCTGTGGTGATGCAAGTAAGAGTAAAATAACTCTCACTAGATTGGTTAAATCTGTTTGGTATAAATTTTATTACTTACCTATATACCCAAACCAAACTGGAGAATGAACTCCCAACCCAAAGAATGGTATGTGGGTATATGCATTATTTGAGAAGGCTATTATGCTATGTTTGTCCTGTGCTCCTAGACTCTTACTAGAAAGTTATTTAGCTCGAGTAACAGTTGTCCTCACTGTCCGTGTTTCTTCTGTGCAGGCATTAGCCGTAATTGCCACTTCTCCACTCCGGGTAGATCTGTCATGTGTCCTGGAGCAGGTAGTAGCAGAGTTGACTGCATTCCTACGAAAAGTATGTAACTCTTCTCTCAATAAACTGTTGATTATCTTGTAATGTATTTTATTGCCATTTCTTGTTCTACTTGTATTTGCTTTTGAAGTCAAATTGCCTCATATTTCTGAGAATTTCCCACCATAAGGGGTAAAACATTGAGATTTTCTTTTGTTGTTTGCAAACAGGCCAATCGTGCACTAAGGCAGGCAACCTTGGGAACCTTAAATTCACTCATAGTTGCTTATGGTGATAAGATTGGTTTATCTGCCTATGAAGTTATTATTGTAGAACTGTCGGGACTAATTAGGTTTGTCCTACAAATCTACGCTTTGTACATCTACACCGGTGACATGGATTGATTGACCCAGACTTATTTTTCTTAATTTTTTTTTGCTTGTGTTTTAGTGATTCTGACTTGCATATGACGGCTCTTGCCTTGGAACTATGCTGCACACTGATGGGTGATGAGAGATCAAGTCAAAGCGTTGCATTGGCTGTTAGAAATAAAGTTCTTCCCCAAGCTCTAACATTAATAAGAAGCTCATTGCTGCAGGGGCAAGCACTTTTGGTAATTTTATGCTTGTGACTTGTTAAAAATTCCACATTGGATAGTGATAAATACGGATGCCAAACGAGCATGCCATCCTGCCAAAGCCTGCCAAAAAAAGCGCGGGACTGTCCAACTTTAATGTGAGGGTTCAAAACCTTGGCTCGACCCTAGTGTGTTGGTTGAGGGTTCAAAAGGCTTGAAAAGTGTTAAATTGTTAATCAATGCTGGGCATCTTGCACCTACAAATTGGTTTTTTCGGTGTTTGTTGAATCTCACTTTGGGTAGTATGGGATATGGCTTGAAAAATGTTTATTAGTAGTGAACATTTCTCACAAAATATGTGTGGTTGAGTTAGGTCTAAACCCCAATTCTAAGTTGAATAAGCATGTGACCCGTTTTGTATGATATTAAAAGCACACATGCTCAGATTGTTTTTCTTTTTGCTGAATGTGCAGGCCTTACAAAACTTTTTTGCTGCTTTAGTCTATTCTGCAAACACAAGTTTTGATTCTCTGCTGGAGTCACTGCTTGCATGTGCCAAGCCTTCTCCACAATCTGGTGGCATTGCTAAACAAGCATTGCATTCGATTGCTCAATGTGTGGCTGTTCTATGCCTTGCCGCCGGTGATCAGAAGTGCACATCTACTGTGAAAATGCTCACTGACATTCTCAAGGATGACAGCAGCCCCAATTCAGTATGTTCTCTCTCCTGTATTTCTGCTTAGTGATTTTTTTCCTTAATAATGCACCAACGCCTTATACAGGGCCTGCATGCTCCAATTCAATCTGATCTTAAAGCATTGAATTGTTGGACTGCTATTAGTTTTTCCCATTATTATTGGTTTCACTGCCCTCTTTTTTCCTATGACTTGCTTTCTGTTTCTGTATCTTCAGAGTATAATATGGAAAAATTTAGCATACCTTTAGAATATATTGTGGAACTATGCAATACTGACACTTTTTCTATATGAACTAAAATTGAAATACATCACCAAGACAGTTTCACTTTCAGATTACTCCTTGTTTGTAATATACTAATCATTATGCCTTTTCTCTTTCAAAGGCTAAGCAGCACCTTGGGCTTCTATGTTTGGGAGAAATTGGTAGAAGGAAGGATCTAAGCATACATGCACATATAGAAAATGTTGTAATCGAGTCTTTCCAATCACCTTTTGAAGAGATAAAGTCTGCAGCCTCTTACGCCCTTGGTAACATTGCTGTTGGTAATCTTCCCAAGTACTTGCCATTTATCTTGAATCAGATTGATAATCAGCAGAAGAAACAATATCTCCTGCTTCATTCTTTGAAAGAGGTATCATGCGCCCTTGGACAAGCTGTATCTGTCTGGTTATCATTTCCTTCCTATATGTGTGTGTTACGTGTAATTATGAGAACTTATGTAGATTTTACAAAATATATATGCATCTCTCTTTCCCTTGCAGGTAATTGTGAGACAGTCTGTAGATAAAGCAGAGTTCCAAGAATCTAGTGTGGAGAAAATACTCAATTTGCTCTTTAACCACTGTGAAAGTGAGGAAGAGGGGGTGCGCAATGTCGTGGCCGAGTGTCTGGGAAAAATTGCGCTTATTGAACCTTTAAAACTTGTTCCTGCCCTCAAGGTATCTGAACTTTATCTTTGTACTGTGTACTATTGCTTGTGCCCTGCATATTTTATATTGATGGTTATGTTTGTACATTAATTTTTTATAGGTACGAACAAGCAGTCCAGCTGCATTTACTCGGGCTACCGTTGTTATAGCTGTGAAGTACTCTATAGTTGAACGTCCAGAGAAGATAGATGCGATCATATACCCTGAAATATCATCATTTCTGATGCTTATCAGGGATAATGACAGGGTGAGTTCTTAATCAACTTGCTGAATATTGATAAAGTAATGTAACAAAATTTTCTTTGGATGTTGATTTTCTTAAGAGTCACTTTATAGGAAAAGTGGTGAGTAACACTACTGATTCAAAAATGGATGCTACTAACATTTTCCCCTCCCTCTAAAAGTTTACTTCTAACAATTTCCCCTCTCTCTAAAAGTTTGCTTCTAACATTTTCTTCTCCCTCTAAAAGTTTACTACTAACATTTCCCTAATAAGAATGTCTCCATATGTATAATAATTAATGAGGTTGTTTAAATTCTAAACATTGATTTCCCAATCAGTGACCAAATCCGTTTTCTTTTTATTGTCTATTTGGGGCTTATTGGCATATTGTTTGGTTTCAACTTTATTGGTGCTGATTTTTATTGTGAGCATGCAGCACGTTAGGCGAGCTGCTGTCTTGGCTCTGAGCACATTTGCGCACAATAAACCAAACCTCATCAAGGGGCTTCTTCCTGATCTATTGCCTCTTCTTTATGATCAAACAATTGTAAAGGTAACCTGTAATATGGCATTCTGTTTTGTGGAGTTCTGTTGATTACATGACATGACAATATAAATGTGACATTTTCTTTTCTTTGATTCTATGCACTTTTTGAGTAATTTTAATATTTTACATTGGCTTGATGCCTGATAGAAAATAAAAGGTCTCATATTACTGGAGGCGTTCTGATTTTATAATAATTTTTTTGACAGCAAGAACTGATAAGGACAGTTGATCTTGGCCCTTTCAAGCATACTGTGGATGATGGGCTTGAATTGAGGAAGGCAGCTTTTGAATGTGTAGACACATTGCTGGATGGTTGTCTTGATCAGCTGAACCCCTCATCATTCATTGTTCCTTATCTTAAATCTGGTTTGGATGGTGAGCCTTCGTTATATAATCTTTCTCCCATCCCAGCAAATTACATTTCATGTTATGACTTCCAACATATTGGCTTTTATGTTTACCCTTCATCCATTTATCCAAGCATAGGGAACTTTACCATGTTTGTTTGCTACACTACTAAGCTTAGGAAACTTAGTACATCTGATCCTTTCGTATACCAGTAGGCCCTAGATACGACAGGAGCTCTATAGCTCCAGGCTGCCTTGTTGAATATATGCTAGTTTATTATTATTGCTTCTGGACTGCTGTTGTTGATTCTACTTATGGATGCACGTGTTCTGTTGGTACTAATTTATTGATACTTTTTTATTTTTTCAGATCATTATGATGTTAAAATGCCTTGTCACCTGATTCTTTCAAAACTGGCGGACAAGTGTCCTTCTGCAGTCTTGGCAGGTTTATGTTGCCTATGTTAAAAGTATTATAATCTTATTGCATGGCTTTCTCTTTTTCTAACTTGAATTTCACCTTTCAGTATTGGATTCATTGGTGGATCCTCTCCAGAAGACTATCAACTTTAAGCCAAAGCAAGATGCAGTTAAGCAAGAAGTTGATCGCAATGAAGACATGATCCGAAGTGCACTCCGAGCTATTGCATCCTTGAACCGCATAAGGTTTGTATTTGTTTCTTCATCTGAATCAAGCTATTTGTTTTGCACTAATGATGCATAATAAAATCATCACTATTATCTGTTTGTTGAAAACACTTTTATCTGAAAGGTGTATGTCTTTTTTGAATGAATCATGCAGCGGAGGAGATTGCAGTGCCAAGTTCAAGAACCTTATGAATGAAATATCAAAAACACAAGCTCTATGGGATAAATACTATTCAATCCGCAATGAATGATGCAAATGCAGTTTTAAATGAGCAATATAACATCTGCCTGAGAATGCTACAAGTGGCCTGGTGATTTTAAACCGATAATACAAGTGGTTTGGAAAACTAGTTAATTGTACCATACAAGAATTCAAGTGCAATGGTAATACCAGTAGTGATTTCTTGTATAGGATGAAAGATTTTGCCTTTTTTTTGTTGTATTTGTATATCTTTTAGCTACCATGAACAATTGCCAGCCCTTAACGTCCTCGTAAAAAATAGAATGCTGAAAAAGAAATTAGTAGACATTGATGGAATCTGAGATATTTTTGGGTCAAACTTTTAATCCTCTAGAGTATCGATGGGATGATTGAAATATGTTTGAATTAACATAACATATTCCGGAGATGCATCTCCGAAAAACATTTTTAAATCACCCCATACCCACAAATCGTATAATGAGGATAACTAGTGAATTGTTTTTCCCACCTCATGACGTGCTAGTACATCACGACGGAAAGTCACAAAAAAACTAGATTCTAGAGATGCAACTCTAAACAGACTCAAACTACACACTCCCAACACTTTCTAGAGTGAGTCACCCCATGTTGTCCAAAAAAATTCTAGTAGATGCATTTCCATATCCATATTAAGGTTAACACAAAGGTGCATCTTTGTCAAAACACCAAAGAGAAGATGGATTTATGTAAAGAACTGTGTACGCCTAAACCATAAACTAGTAACAGATGGACGAAGAAAGTTGAAGAAAAACTTAATTTAATACTAAAATATGCAACATTAACTTAATTTAATACTAAAATATGCAACATTACATAGATAATTGTTAATATAAATTTAACATTACATTTTATCCGGATGTTGCAACATCTTTAAAATATATTTTTGGTTGATCTTGTAATTGTCACATCCACTTCAACTGGACCATTTGTTTTATAGTAGTGAAATATACTCAACATAATCCTTAAATCTTCATCTGTATTTAGCTCAAACTTTTTGAACTGAATCTTTCCTTCATCCGTGTTCGCCTTGTTTTTATATGGCATAAATATTGTATATTTGTTTTATATTAGAGACATTTTCAGGTCTTTTTCATTTCAACATTTCATGTACTATTTGTCTTACGGTATCCACGAACCTTCAAAGGAAAATCACACTTTTTCGATTCATTGTCATCCCATTTCAACTTCTAAATAGGTTGGTACGTGTCATTTCTTTCGTAAATCAATGTTACAAATGCCTATCTTCTATCAGAATCATTACCAGACCTCCCAATTACAACACCGAACCTAATTTTGGTGGTCTCAGTGTAGATCCATTAGAGCATATTCTCATGCTTAACAAACTTCTATTTTTAGTATGAATTAGCAGTTTTTGATCCCTCTGACCCTGTTCTTGACCCAATGTGGAGACAGGGTATGTTCGTTATACCCTTCATGACTCGTTTAGGAATAACCAATTCGTGGGGTGGTTGGAATATTACAGGAGGCACTATAACAAATTCGGGTATTTGGAGTTACGAAGGTGTGGCCGCGGCACATATTGTGTTTTAGTTGTAAATTGTTCATGAATATCTACCTAAAACAAGGTCTTTTTCGTTTCAACATTTCAAGTATATTTTAGGGTGACACTATATTCAATGTAATGTAAAAAACAAGCTCTTTCTCCTGAGGCGAAATGCAATGGGACTACCGACTAACTTATGACATAAGTAATGTCAATGTATACCAAAAAAGATATTAAATTTTCATGTACTATCGCCTTACGGTATACGAACCTTCAAAGGAAAATCACTTTTTCGATTCGTTGTCATCCCGCTTCAACTTCTAAATAGGTTGGTATGTGTCACTCCTTTTGCAAATCAATGTTACAAATGCCTATTTTCTATCAGAATCATTACCAAAACTCCCAATTACAACACCGAACCCAATTTTGGTGGCCTCAGTGTAGTGTAGATCCATTGGAGCATATTCTCATGCTTAACAAACTTCTATTTTTAGTTGTAAATTGTTCATGAATATCTACCTAAAAAACTACTGGTTAATCATCCACTTTGACATCAACCAGTTTAACATCATCTTCGACATCACCTTATTTAACATCATCATCCACTTCATTCGTTTTACCATCCACATACACGGCAATTTTATGTAAAGTATTAGGGTGCATCATATCTACAATCAATCGTAATAGAATAATAAATTAAATACTCAAACTCAACCTTGAAAAAATTTCTGAGATGTATATTCAAACTTAATATTCATTTTACACAACAAAAATTATCTTAATGCAAGTAATATGGAAGAAAAAACATGTTCTTTACCATAGATTGCAGTTTTTTTTTTTTTGTTTCTTTTGACATGATAAAACACAAAAATATTATTTTAGAGTAGAAAAGTTGATTGAGAAAGGAAGGAGAATTTTGAAGGGTTTTGATAGAATAATTGTGTTTGATCATGAAGAATAAGAATATGAAATGGTTTGTTTTATTTATTTTACCGCTTCATATTTTTAGAGATGCATCTCCAGAACTGCCACTGAATATATTAAGGGTGAGTCAATCAACTTAAAACACAATACACGAGTGGTTCTGGAGATGAATCTCCATATTAGTTATTAATATAGATGGGGTTTTGACTCACTTGGCACACCCATGAAAACACCTTCTCTAGCAACTCTTTTGAGCACACTCACACTTTTTGAATATGGAGTTGTTTTTCCCATTCTAAGCATTACTCCCCAACCTTAGTGAAATTCCAGAACTACTCCTAGAATCCGAAAATGCATCTCTGGACGCACCATGAATACACTCAAATTCATCTGTAAACAAGCCACGCTCTTATTTTATCTAAAAGAATAATTTGAAAATATTCATCTTGATCAATTCAGAAGTATACATCCATATTCCACTCATCTAGTTTCTACTTGAAAAAGCAATCAATGAAACACCAATACCAAAAGATCAATTATGACACATCACTATTACTATGAGCTTGAATTTATGTCTTCTTTCTCTATAAATCTTCCTCTGAACTCCATTACAACCAAACATATTTACTTTCATATTTTTTTAAAGATGATAGTTGAATTTTCTTTATTTCATGTAAAAAAACTACATATTAATTTGCTTCTAATTTTTTCTTAAATAACAAATAACATTGGTAAGGAACAAAAATTAGAAATGCAATTAACGTTATTTGTTATTTAATAGAAAATTAGAAGTAAACTAATAAATGTGGATTTATAGAGAAAGAAGACATAAAGTCAAGTTTTCCCAATCAAAGCTCATAAATAATATAAAGTCCTTATTTTTCAATATAAATATGTTGTTTTTATGAAAATATATCTCTAGATTAATTCGGAGGGCGTGACTCACTTACACACGAATTTGATATATTTGGAGTGCATTCAAAAATGCATTTGCAAATTCAAATGAACATTTTTTAATTTCAATAAGGTGATTCTCCACAACTTATGATCGAAGAAGCAATTTTCTTTGAATAAATATTTCTAAATGTTGAGAAAAACACAAACAAAGCATAGAGAAAAAAGAGGAACACAATCACAACACAAAAACATGACGTAGAAATTCCAAAATCTGAGAAATAGTACGACTATTGTCAAATGACAACCAGAAAATAACACTATATAAAAATTGTTATGACACATTCTATACTCTCAACTAACTCAGGCCCCCAGTACACCCACACCTTCCAAAAACAAATATTTAATTACATCTCACAACACTATAATACAAGAGCATAAGAGAACAAAAAAAGTCAAATACAAGCTTAAAGTGCTTTTGACTTACGCATCTTAGAATGAAGAACTTAAATCCTATATATAGCATTTGACTGCATCTTCCTTCACAAAATTAAATGATGTGGGAGTTTAAAGAACTTGTATCTTATATATAGTCTTATACCCTCTCTTCGCTCACAAAACTAAGTGATGTGAGACTTCTTCAATATGTATATTTTTAATCAACCCTAACAATCTCCACCTTGATTGAAAATAATACATAAGTTTTCACAGTCTTCACCGACAATCATACTCTACCATAAAGAGTATCAACATGTATAGTTTGAAGAAATTGTAGATGTGGAGGCTGACGAAAATTGTGGTTTTCGTGATATTGGAGATTTACTGGATGGGGTTGAAAAGTCATGGTCCTAAGTGCATACATAGCTTGATGGTGAAGTTTAACTAAACACTCAGTTGTATTTCAAGATGTTATAGAACACAATCTCATAAGTTAGGAGTTTATTCCAAATTTATGGCTTGGATGTTCAAGATCGTGAGAAATGGGTGATGATTTCTAAAATGGGATACGCTATTGCTTCTAGATACAATATGGTATTGGTTTCGTTGTCCAGTAACCTTAACATCGCTTTCCTCCTACTTGTGATATCTTCATCTGTGTCTGTGAGTATACATAAAATTATTGCAAATGGTTTTGTTAACAGTTATTGAGTTCATGCGAAGTTGAAACCCCTTATTGCCCATTGCCTCTTCTCGCTAACCGCTGAATACATAAACATAGTGAAGATGCAAGAGTATGGGAAACAACATATGTGAGACGTATATGACATTAGGAAGAATAAGTCAGGAAGTCAACATAATTTGATTTGTATAAATATTGTTGTATAGTTGCGATTGTATGTATATATTTCATAGGATTGTGATTGTAGTGACACTTTTGTATGTTATGTCATATTATGTTTTTGTGTTCATGATAAATTATGTTGTGGTATGTTTATGTTATGATATTGTAATGTTAATTTTCATATAATGTCAAAAACACAACAACAAAAAAACATTATTGCCTACCAAATTTCTAAGAAATCCAGTCGTGCATATCTAACGTGGTCATTTCAAGATGGGTGGGGATCAACTTACTCTAAGAGTAAGTTTTTTTAACTTACTCTATGTCATAGCCTTTGAATTAAATCTAATCAAATGGTCAATTAAGTAAAAGATTAATTGAATCATTAGATTAGATTCAATTCAAATGTTATAATTTAGAATAAGTTAAAAAAATTACTCGAGTAAATTGATCATCACTCTTTCAAGATACACATTTAGCACGCCACATAAATCACTGATAGTATAAACTAGCAGGAGAGACCACATTTAAGAACGAAAAACTGTTAGAATGGAACAAAAAATTAGAAACTAAACTTAAAATTTGACATATTTATAAGGTTCTTAATGATATTTAACCCTGTTCTTATATTGTCAACTTGTTTGCATTTTAAACAATAGTTAGTTGTATTATCTATAGCCAACTATTAGAAATCTGTTGGGAAAACAAATAATCTACTAATTTCAAATATACTTATGGGGATAGATAGTAATAAGATAAAGTAAATTAACAGTTTAAATTCAATAAAAATAATATCAGACCATGTTATTGTATCTACAGACAATCATGCTTACTTATCTTCTCCAATCTTCACGTTTTTTATTTTTTTTATAAATTTGTTATCTTAACTTCTTCCATCCATTATTTTAATAATTATGGAATGAATTTCATAAAACCCTATTTTAATAATTCTAATGTTGATGGAATGAATTTAATAAAACCCCACCCACGTGTCTTTCAGGTTTTGGTAAAAAGTCATGGGAAATTTTGTTTTTCTTCTTAATTCCTCTTTCAATGTTTGTTTCTCTCACCCATGACTTCTCCTTCGCACTATATGAATACTTTTCTACTACTATGGATGGCATGTAATCTATGTTGTCGGTCAAAAATAAAAGTAATTAAGTTAAGGCTTTGATGTCTTATGAAATGAAGTTTTTTTTTTTTAAATATAATGGTTAAGTTTGCTTCTTAATCTAGATTGGAAAATGTTTCAAGTTTAATTCATCTTTTTTGAAATTATGAAGACGGAATTTCATTTTTTTTAATTCTTTAAAAAATTATATTGATATGTTTAATGAAATCGAAGGGTATAATGCCATTGATAATAGAACAAAATCATTTTTTAGCATCGAAATGTCAAATTGGTTGGAAAGAATGAAGGTTAGGAAAAAAAATTGTTAAAAAAAAGTTGAAAGTGGAGAGGATTGTGTGTGAAAATCTCTAGATATTCTATTTTTGTTTTTAAATTATATCTAACAGTACAATTGTTTGAAATCACGGGGAGGGACTTAATTAGATGTCACCTATAAATTACTATTACTAATTAGATACTTTCTAAATGTCTCGATTCTTGTTGTCTTATATAAAGCGAGAAACAAAACCTTATACTCAATGCTAGTTTGTGCCGTGGGGGTGGTGTGAGATTTGATTTTTGGTTTTGAAAATTAATTTAAAATTTCCAAAATTAAAACATGTTCACAAAATCGGAATTTATTTAATGTTTTACTTAGTTTTAAAATCATTTTTACTAAACTTTTAAAATTTTTGTTTTTATTTTACAGATTCAAAGTTAAGATACCACTCCTTAGACCATAGAGACTACAAGTCTACAATTAAGTCAAAACTCTATAGGAGACTTATGACCTCATCTACAGTAAGCTTAGAAGCAAAACATTTAAAAAAGAAACTAGACAATTAAGCACCATCATATATAACTTAAACAAACGTTAATGCTTGCCACAAAGGACATGTTTATGGTCCTCTAAACTAAACAGCAAAATCTCCAGAAAGAATTTGTATTGTATGATACTTGTAATTTCTAAAAGTCAGCAATCATTCTTCCGAGTAGTTGTCACTATCTTCCTCGTATATCTGGTATTCTTCTTCACTACCATTTTCCGGCGCTTTGTTGCCGTCAATTTCATCAGATGGAAAGCTACCAAATAGATCCTGTAAGTGAGTCATTGAAATATTGAGACCTGAAAATTATTAAGGAATTCAAAGTTCCAGAAGGCCTTTCCAGTTTCCATCATCCAATCAAAATGTCATGAAGGTACATGATTAAGCAATATTAAACAACTTAGTTCAAATAGAAAAGGATACGAGAAGGAGACGGCAGAGGCATTTCAGTATCTCCGAACTACAAAAGCCAACAACATAAATTAATTAGAAACTATCATTTTTTAAAACAACTGCTAACACAAACCCTTGTATAAAAAACAAAAAAACAGACCAGATCAAGTTCTTCTTCCGATTCCTCCTCGTCGCTATCATTAGCCTCAACTGCCTCCCTGTCCTCATCCTCAACATTGTCAGGCTCTTCACTTTCTTCCAAGCCTTTGTTTCAGATACAAATTCGACGTGGCAATAAGTTGCTCGCTCTATTATATACTAAAGCAAAATATCAATATGAAGAATAGTTTTAGATATAACCTGTATTAGCTTGCTGGGATTCCACTCCATCAAGTTTCATAGTGATCCTATTGCACTCCTTCTTCATTTTCTCAAACTTGTAAGTAGCAGCCTTGAGTAAACTCTGTACGCCAGGTTTGGGAAATACTGATAGGTACCTCACCATAAGAAGTTGTCTAATACAATTGACCTTTCGGGGTGAGAACCACCCAGATTCAAACTGCAAAAATAGAATGTAAGATACAACTTGGATAATTAATGGAATTTCTTACAATAAATAAATACATGAAATTTAAAAACACATGAATATGCCGACATAAAACGAAAGATGATAATTCATAAGAAAATCTTACGGTGCAAGTTCCCTGCATTGGAGGCTTATTTATTTCAACTTGAATATAATCATCAACAAGCTCAAAGAACTGTAAAGATGTCTGGAACTTGTATGGGAAAGCACGGAAGGCACATATATCCCCCCATCTATGTTCCGATCTGCATGAAATGATACCCTTAAAAAATGAGAACACAACACAAAATGTACAACAAATATCATAGTGGCAAGATATATTTCTCTACACTTGTGTCTGTCTACGTGTATTATTTTACGTTGCTAATATTTATTTATTTTCCTATGCATATACACATGTAGAGTTACTTTCCAAAATACACTGAACTAGTTTGCTCAGTAAAGCAAGACATAAGCTGAACAAAATGACTTACTTATTGGCCGTGTAAGTATCAAGGTAACTTCTCAATGGGACTGGTACTCGATAATCAATTCTTTGATAACTGCAAAACCAAAAATTCAAACAAGTTCAATAGATTAAATATACTCCAACAAGAGATGTTTGGATTGTAGCCATGTAGGTTTAGTATTCAATGGTACATGTGTTTAGAAACTAGTATAAAACTAAGTACGAACAATATTTGCTAATGCTACATCATCTATTAAAAATTTAATCTGTTTATTATGTGACCCAAACACTCTGAGTGTAAATGTATGATTGAAGTGAAATCCAATAGATTATTAAAAATCAGGAAGAAGTCTTACATGCGAGAATCAGGATCTTTGCGTGGATCGTATCCTTTCTTTATCCAGAACCTTAGAAATGGTCCGCTCGAAAAGTAGTAAGCAATTCTAGATAGAAGCCTGCCAGAGGGATTGGAAGGTCACTTAATTATCAAGGTCAAGCAATTAAATTCTAGAAAATGTGAAAGCTAATCAGCAGAATTTGCACAAGTCACCTTCTAAACATGCCATGTGAAAAGCTTAAGCCCTTACTGAGCAGGCGTTCAGTAAGTGAGTTTTTGCACCAAATAGGTTTCTCATCAAACAATCTAGATACAGCCATTTGTGACTCCCACTGATCTGAGCCTTTTGGTATGTATTCCTCCCAATTTACTTTTTTAGGAATTTGTAAGACAGTTAAGTAAAACCAAAACCACAAAAGTGAAATTTTCTTGCAATATGTTTAAATATATTTTCCTTTCCAAAGTGAATACAGATCAAACACAAAAACTCATGACAGTTTATAGAAATGAAAATGAAAAAATTAGTAGCAATCTAGCAATTCAACATCTTGTGCCAAAAAATCGGCTAAACATGCCAAGTAATGAACTTTATGTATCACTAAGCCATTGCCTAACATACTACTTAGAACTCCAGAAGAGAATGTTATGCTTTATTTCCATCTCTTTCCTGTTCAGAAAGCAGTGAATAGAATATTCCTCGACAGGACAACTTGCGATGAGAGAAATAGATCTCTTCTTTATTAGCATGCAAACTAAAGCAGCCATGCAACTCATTTAATACATTATATTAATTTACAAGTTACTACGGTAGACAAGCCCTTTTAAATATTAATGTTTAGTAATGTATCACTAGAAGACACAATTTTACTTTTCTAGAGGGTGGTTAAAGTTGAATTGTTAGGTACTAAAGCATAATGTATATCTTGACAATTAATAACCTTTGTTAACTTTCTTCACAAAAAAAACCCTTTGTTAACTTCAAAAAAAAAAAACCCTTTGTTAGCTTTCATAGGAAAAACATCCAGGATGTAAAACAAATGACATCGACCAAAACTATCTTTTTTTCTTATTTTAGTAGTGGTGGGAACATTCACACATAAATTTAGAAAATTAGTGTAATTCAAATGATTTTTAATAGAAAACTAGGAAGCAACTGGAAAGTTAATATTTTGTAATTAAAAAAACCCCGCAACATGTTTGATCATGGATTCAAATATATAAAACATGAGTGGATTTAAGCTAAAATATGCATATATAGAACTTTTCAGCTTCAGTAAGCTTTAAATACGATAGTCCTACTAATGGAGAGTAGGATATCTTTAATGTGAAAATCAAGTGCAAGAACTGGCTCCCTGCCGATCTGCGCAAAATATTGCACCGTGTAAGTTTTCTTTCTATAGATATTATATGATTGATGCCACAAAAACAGTTATGTCTTATCCCACCAGGTGTATATGACCAATGCTGCCTAAATGAAAATTATGTAAAATCTATTTTGATTGTCATCCAGCTATGAAAAATATGAACCGCCTTACAGCTCGTGTTTTATATAACCCAAAGGATTGAATTTCATGCCTGAACTATATCCTATTAAAATATTAATTTTAGCTAAATTTACCTCAAAATGGGGCTGTGCAATTTCCTGATCATCTTTCTTTTTTGAACTTGACACAGTAGGTAGTCTCAAGCTGAAATAGGAAAATATATAAATAACTGAAAAGTGAAGTTAAGACAAGATGAAATTTCCAGTCAAAACTTTACAAAGTAACCCAAGAAAACATTACAATATAAATCTTCAAATGCATATAACAATACAATACAACTAACCTACCACCTTCAGTGGAGAGACAATACAAAAATATCTAAATACGTTAGTTAAGAATTTAGCAAAACCATCTAAATACCTCATGATACAGAGCACACATGTCTGCATGGACAACACATAAAATGAAGTTAAGGCTCACAAATAAAGGCATGGCACAAAAACTGTAGACAAGACGACTCTTCCATTGTTTAAATATTTGAATTGGTCTTAAATGATTTAAACGGTATAGCAGCATCCATGATTTTTCTCTAAATAAGTGAGTGATCACTAAATGACAGTTTGAGAAACATACACTAAGTTTTCTGGCATGTCTTTTGGAGAAAAAATTGGAGGTACTATGATCATAATGTCTTCATGATCCACATCTATACGACTGCCCTTAGCTAAGAGAGAATACAAACACAAATCATTACCTTCGTAAAACTGCCATTAAACATACTTCAAAAATTGAGTCAAAGAAACAGAAACAATCAAACAAAATAATCACCTAAATGTGTTTCTTCTGGTTCTGACCAATTTCTCTTCTTCCTCTTTGCAACATTCGCATGGACAGGAACAACATACTGGTAGTCTACCATTCCTTCATAATTGGCGAAAATAAAAACATAAATTTGTTCAGGAGGTTCACAAAGGTAATCAATCTACACCAAATCACCAAAATCAATTCCATTTCAAGTTTCTAAATTTTAACCTTCAAAGAAATAAGCCTCCGGAACATGAGCAACAATATCAGCACAGAGATTTTCCTTTTCATCTATTTTGTCAGCAGCTCCGTGCTCACTTTCTACATGATTTTCTTGCATCCCATGCTCCATTCCACGCATGCTATTAGAAGCTTTGGCCCCATCATCATCAGTAAGTTTTTTCTTGGATATTTTCAGAAGCAAAGCATTAGTGGGACGACGCTCCCCGAATGCAGGATGAGAATAAGGGTCTTCAGGGCGGAACCTGAGCTCTAATCTGTTTGATTGTGAACTGCGAGCCTACAGATTACACGCATGGCCATAATTATAATCAGCATAAAATAAAATATGTGAATCATAATATCTTTTAACAAAACTTGCAAAGTACCTTAAGGATGCCTTGAATTCCACCCAGTGTGTCAATAGCACGAGAGGTTGAAGATGGATAACCAGGATAGTGCACCAGAAATCCATGAGGCTCCGGTAGGACTCCGGAGATTGTGCCATCCTTGATCACCCCCATTTACTTCTAGCCCTACCTATCATCATTGAGATTTCAATGCCAAATTAATTTTTAAGCAACATATAATGGTTGATTGTCAAGTAATGACAAACCTAATCTTTAACAAATCACTTCAAAGCACGGAATAGGGGAGAATAAATTTGAAGTTCAGCAGTTAAGTGGACCCATGGGACACATGATGGGACAGGTGGGCCACCATAATAAAATATGCAGAAATTATGTATCCTTAGCATATGTATTCTAAGAAGCTCTCATCTTAAATTAAACATATAAAGAGTACAACAAGATATAGACTGATTTTATGGCACCGTTAGCAATTTAACTTATAGAAATGTTTAGAGCATAACCAGCAAAAATCCAATTACCAAGCAAAAAGATATGAACAAACAATTATCATGCATTAGGCAGTCTAAAATACAAGTCCTTAAAGTGATAACTTAAGTAACATATCATTATATTGAAACATTCCACTTTCCAAAAGAGTATGCAGAATGATCTCCCATCATAATCATTGTGTATCATACCTTTCTATACATCTCCCCACTATGCAAGCAAGCACTACCCAGTTCAAAAGAGCCAATCTAGAGCAAATCTCAAACAATGTCATCATTGGTTCTTCTAATTCCCCAAAACAACTAATAAAAGTATATATAAAAATAAGGTTTGTGTTTTGCAAATGGGGAACCCATCAAGGATATGTTTCTCACTCATAACATAACAAAATAAAAATATGCTTATATATTTGCTTGGCAAAAAAATTTTCTTCAAGAAATGGAGGGAAAACCTCCCAAATACCATTAATATGATCTAGACTTTAACTAGCTTGTCATAAGACATGACTTACAAGAAGATACAGACTTATTTGATAATGTAGATGACCTTTCCTAGTGGAGAAAAGGTTTTTTTATTGATATAGATGAGTCAATGAAGAGTTTGATTCATCCTTAAAGTTGTATCTAGTTTACTGAGTATGTTTCCATCGCACTTTAATGTTTTATAAACTAAGCTTTAAGATTTCACAAACAGAAAAATAGTTAGTAGTTAGTGTTTTGTTAGACTAGTATCTAAGAGAAATCACAAATGGCTTTCTTTTTATTGCAAGAAAGGAAGTCTAGGAGAAAACCAATTTGGCTAGTATCTAAGAGAAATGACCCAGTGTGGAAGTGAAAATAGACCAGAAAACCAATTTGTACCTAGAGAAATTTGACTACAGACTTCTACTTTCTTTAGGTAACAACAGGGGTGGAAACATATTTATAACTTACAAGTCTCGCCCAAAAAAACACACACAACTGTCTCTGTTCATCCTCCAAATATCATCTCCCTACTAGTTTAGCAAGTTAACTAAACAACTAACAGTTGGGTCAGCTCGGGTCCTATGAGCATATGGCCCTACTGGACCAATCATGTTTATCCTAGTCAAATGGAAATGTATGAATACTTAAAAATCCTAGCAAATACCTTCCCCCATGGAAAATCCATTTTCTGCATAGTTAAAATATGCAGAAATTACAGATGGATTCTATGCATACTTATAAGTTATAATACTTGTCTAATCTTATATGATTCACATACAAATTGTTAAAAGCAAAACAACAATCAATATTTAGAACACTAATACCATAATAACAATTCACCTAACCAGTTTCACATTCCAATCTGATGTAACTTTACATATAAGTCACATGCAAAATCATTGGCCAAGTATTTCAAAATCTAGATTGCCTGAAACAATGGAGAAAAATCAACCTCCATGACATTCAATAATCAACCAACAAACGCATACAAATTGAAGAGAGAAGTAAGGTTTTTGCGTACCTTCAAGAAGTTAACGGCACGGCGGTCAATCGTGAAGATTGGATGGAATGAGAGAGAATGAGAGATGGAGAACGTGAAGGAGAATTAGGGTTTAGCAATTGAGGATTGGGAGTTTCTGAGAGCAGGCGCGAAAGAGAGAGTATCAAATTTGAAAATCGATAAGCAATGGACTACGGGTTTTTAAATGTAATTTTGGATTAATTTGGATACTGATTTAGTTTTAAAATATGGATTAATTTGGATACTGATTTGGTTTATGACTTGAAAACGAGATGGAGTTTATGCATAATGTTAGAGAAGTTGTAGTGTGAAGAAACATAGAAGGGTGTTTTGGTAAAGTTGTTAATGGTTGGATGATGAAACATAGAAGGGTGTTTTGGTAAAGTTGTTAATGGTTGGATGATGAAACATAGAAGGGTGTTTTTAAGCTATAATATAGATTTTGATGTCAAATATTTTCATAAAAACTATATTCTTCATTCTGCTATGTAAATTCATTAACAAGGAATCAATAATGCTAATGCAGTTGATTGATGGAATGATAAATATGTACCTTTAGTTTTTCTACATTAATTATAAAAGAATATTTTATTTTAGGTTTTCTCATTCTTCTGTCATGAAAACTATAAGCAATGTCCACTATTACTGTTAGTCAAACATAGAAAAATTGCATGGGAAAAATAGCATGTTAGACTGTTTTACCGCTATCATTTGTGAAAACTGCAGGGTGTGTTCATGTGTCTAAGCCGAGGAGGTACTTTGATTAAATTGGATGGAGTGCAACTGAGAGATAATTTGATTGTTGAGACATTTCTAGTGCGAATTGTTGAACGAGGAACAACTCCGAGAGAAGGAGATGTCTTTGGTGAAAGTGGCTTGGGGAGGTGCTGCAAGAGGCAGTGTGACTTGGGAATTGGAAAGCAGGATGCGGGAAGCGTATCCGGAATTGTTTCCATCAAGTAATTTTCGATGACGAAAATAATTAAAATGGGGGAGAGTTGTAACACCCATTTTAATTATTTAGTCTTTTTGGTGTGTCCTGCTGTGGGGAGTGTGTCTGAACGCGTTGGTGGGTGCCCTTAATTGATAAGGATTATTTTATTAAGTCATAGAGTTAATATTAATATAATATAATGAATAATGATAATAATTTAATAAATAATAGTAATATTGTATTTGTATTATTATTATTATTACTACTAGCGTCAAGATGGACACTCGCGTGTCCGTCTGTCCGCTTTTTTATTGCACACATATAAATATAAATGATATATTTTTATTTAATATTAATTTTACATGAAAGTTATGTGGGAAGTTATTAGTAGGGAGATATATGAAAGATGATAGTAGTAGTTCAATGAAAGTTATTGTGTAAGTTATATATTTTAAAATAAGGGTAAATTTGGTATAAAAAAAACTACACCAAAAACCAAGTATTGTCTGTTATAAATTATAGATTATTATTATTGGAATGAGTAATAAAAAGGGGATTTTGGGGAGAAGGAGGAGAAAACACGATAAAACCAATTTGGGAGAGAGATGGAAGAGAAAGAACAAGGGGGAAGAACATGGGAAGAGAAGAAGGCTAAGGCTGTCAGATTTTTGGGGATTATTCGTCAATCGGAGCATTAATCGAGGTAAGGGGGGAGAAACTGATTGGGATTGGTGTTTACATGAAATTGGGTAGAGGAGATTCCTTAACCCCGTAGGGATTTGATGAATATGTTTGTTATGTTGATATGTCTTTGATTGCTGTTGATTATGATGAATTTTGTGTGCATGTTGATGTGTTTATGATTGTTGCTGCCATTGATGAATGGGTGCACATATGGTGGGATTTTGGTGAGGTTCTGAGTAACTTCTGTAGTTCTGATGATGGACATAGATGTGGGTTCTGAAGATATACTGATAGAATAATGACTAGAGTAGTGTGTACTGGTTGTGGTAATGATAGGATGGGAAATGGAAGTAGAGAGATAGGCTTGGAATTGAGCAAGAGGACATTGTTGAACAGTGAGGGTTTTGAGAGATCGCAGACGCTCGCTAGCACCTTCGCTAAGCAAGCTAGTAGCGAGCATTCGCTAGGCGAGTTGGATAGCGAACCCTTCCAGTAGCTACTGTCTGCCTTCGCTAGGGAGTTCGCTAAGCGAGCTAGTAGCGAGCGTTCGCTAGGGCTTTGCTAAGCGAACGAGCCAGCAAGCATGACAGGAATGTGATTTTGTGCTGTTTTGCTTTGTGATTCGTTTTAGGATCCCTTGGGTTGTGATAGGTAGAGAGATGGTGTTTAGGGGTGAAGAGAGTATATTTGGTGTTGAAAGGTGAAATTATGAAATATTGAATTTAATTGATATAATTAATTGGTGGGTAAGACATATATATGTATATATATATGATGCATAGTGAGGTGATCGGGAGGATCGTGTGTACTCGGTGTTCAAATGTAGATTTCCCTATTATTTAATTTGATTAACATAATTGATTAGCGTGTAATATATGTATGATGTATGGTGATGGGATCAGGGGGATTGTGTGACTTTAATTAAAATAATTAATTGATGAACAATATGTATGTATGATGTATGGTGATGTGACCAGGGGATCGTGTGCACCTTGTGTGCTTGAGTTTATTTATTGTGCATTTGGTGTTATGCATATCATGGTGTTTGGTGGGACGAATCATTACTCAAGAGGAATGTATGTGATTCATCTGTACTCCATTGCGGAGAATGGTAGGGATAGATCATGGCCAAGGACGGGTGTATGTGATCTATCCGGGGTTCGATTGAATGAACCAATGAGTCGGTACCGCATGCATGGTGTTGAGTTGCATAATTGCATTATGGTGTGTTGTGTTGATGTTGGACAGTAGGTCGTGTTTGATGAATGTTGGGTGATGAATTATATGATTACTACCTTTATTTCATGTACTGTATTACCGATAATTTTGATCATGTTTTCTCACCCCTTTGTTGTTGTAGATTTTTTTTGACTATGGAATACTTACTTTTTTTAATGCGCACAGCATAGGAAAATAAACGTGTGTATATTATGTGCGAAGTTACTTGCATATTTTCTTAATGTGCACAACATAGAAAAATAAGCGGACAGACGGGTACAAGAGAGATATCATCACAAATATGAGGATTAAGAACTGAGATCTTTATCTTGAGAATTAAGAAATA